AAGTTAAACAAAGAAACAAAAAATGTACTGATTTGTTGTCAATCAATTTTTATAAAATTTGTGTTTAAATGTGCATTGACAAGTGAACAGTTATATAAAAACATCGAAAACAGTATGTAATTTTAAGCAGTGACAAAGTAGGCTACGAATCGATGTGATCTATTTTCGGAAAGAACAGGTCTAGTCGAGGCAGGATAATATAAATAATACGTGCAGTACTTCACAGAGGTGGTGATTAGTACTACCACCAATTCTATACTAATACATACTATATAGTACAGTTGCATTGGGAGAGGGGCTTCGGAGAGCGGTGGTCTCGCGCAATACGGCGTCGGGAAAATCGATATTTCCATAAATAATGCACCCGGTCGGGGCTGACCCACCCCCTACCCGCCAACCTCCCCTTTTTGATCCCCCCATCGCGACTAAAAACACACCGGATGCGCCAGGCCACACGCGGCCTCGATCCAACATATTATATATATATATACATAATATCGGAGAAGCCTACAGAGGCGAAAGAAAAAGAGAGAAGATCGAAAAGCATTAATTTTAAACTCATTTAGATCATTGATGTAGAAAATATAAAATTATGCCAGTACTAATTTTTGTACCAAAAAACGTATGATTGGATACGTTTAAGTAATTGCTCTAAGAAATTAAATTGATAAATACTTTACAAAAAAAAAAACTGAACTTGAGAAGTTTATTAACACTTGTCAATGCACATCTAAACACAAATTTTACAATTTTTTATAAAAATTGATTGACAACAAATCAGATACATTTTTTTGTTTCTTTGTTTAAAGTTAACTTTTAATTTGAAACTCATTTAGATCATTGATGTAGAAAATATAAAATTATGCCAGTACTAATTTTTGTACCAGAAAACGTATGATTGTATAGGTTTAAGTAATTGTTCTAAGAAATTAAATTGATAAATACTTTACAAAAAAAAAACTAAACTTGAGAAGTTTATTAACACTTGTCAATACACATCTAAACACAAATTTTACAAATTTTTATAAAAATTGATTGACAACAAATCATATACATTTTTTTGTTTCTTTGTTTAAAGTTAACTTTTAATTTTAAACTCATTTAGATCATTGATGTAGAAAATATAAAATTATGCCAGTACTATTTTTTGTACTAAAGAACGTATGATTGTATACGTTTAAGTAATTGCTCTAAGAAATTAAATTGATAAATATTTTACAAAAAAAAAAACTAAACTTGAGAAGTTTATTAATAATCAGTCTACAAAATTAAGCTTTTTTTTTAAATTATGAACATGTTTAATGCTGCTTTATATTGAAAATGATTGTGATATCAACTAAAGGTTTCAAATGTTTTTATTCTTATATAAAGTGGTTTACATGTTTGAATTTTACATAGTATTCATACTGCTTAAGCCTAAGCTCTTTCAGCCTTTGCCTTTTTTGCCTTTGCTGAAGGTTAGATTTGATGAGTATTAAAAAAAAATTAACATTGTAGGATAGAAGCACATTGTATAGTAAAAACACAACATTCTTGAAATCAGGAAGTGTTTAGAATATGAATAGAAATTTTAGACAAGTACACATTTAGAAAACATTAAGATTACACATTTTAAAGGACACCTAATATTATAGACACTAAGAAATATAAATGAGAAAGAAATTGGAATATGGAATATCACAAGAAAGAATGGGCTAATGTTTTCAGTAAGATCATTGAAAATGGGATCAACTAAAGAATGTCATATTAAGTAATATGTAAACATTAACAGCTGATCTGTCATCAAAATACATTGGTACTCCTAACTAACATTTGTATCTTATGTCACGCATGGAGACGGTGTGGATGCAGCCGCATAACGGAAATCCGATATAATCCGTACGAATGTAAAGACTTGGAAACGATGATGAAAGAAGTAGATTTACCGAACTTTTTTCTGTACAACAAAGGCCACATGCTCGGAAGAACATATTCTTCCTCTTCGGACCTTTCTCTCTCTTTCTTATATATATTTATTTTCTAATCCAAATCTGTCCTTCTCGCACTTACATTTTGTCTATGGTCGCATTCTCTCTCTATCTTTTATATAAACCCCCCCGATCGATTTCCTTTTCCGTCGACAACCCACCCTGTTTTCTAATTTCCAAACCCTTCAAATGCGAAACAGACGTGTCGCGTCGTGCATGTGTATGCGCGTTGTGGAATTTTTTTTTGCCGCCGCCGCCGGAAGGAAACGCTCCTTCTTTCACTACTTTTTTGTTGTTCCTTTGCTTGTTCTTGTTTCCTGCGTGCATTATAATTTGTTACGTAACCTGCACGCAAGTGAAGAGTGTCGTGGTTTCTGTTAAGTTTAGATGATGATGATCTCGTTCTATCTGTGTCTCTGCGTGCCATGTTATTTGTGTCTGAGCACCCTCAGACGGTGGCACGGTCGAAGGGGGCGCTACGGTGTTCGGATCACACCGCCGGCGGCGGCGAGCCGATTGGTTTCGATAGCGGATAGCGGGACGCGCACGTGCCGGTTATTATTGCTGCCAGTTTCACCGTGAACGTATGCAAATCGTTTCGCCGATAATAATTCCAACACACACATCCACACAAGTACATACATATACGTACACACATAGACATACATTATACATGCATACTCAGTCAGAAATCGAGTCCGATGCAACACGCGTACCCCAAGGCTCTCGACTCCCATCACAACATTATTATCTAAATTCACTCTCTAATGCGAAGCACGGATCAATGCCTGCTATACCTCCCTCTCTTCTTTTTCATTCATTTTTATTTATTTATTCGCTCATAATCCTCGAGTTTACAACTGACAAATAAATAAATTATGAAACATATTTTTTTCTCTATTGGCACATTAAATCTGCTCTTAAAATGCTAATTTCCATTCGCGGCCATAAATCTCTTACATTTTTATTTCCTTGAATCTCTGTCTCTTTTTTTTTATTCCCGAATGGAAAGACACCGCGAGGATTGAGCGTACGTTCGCAAAATTCCGATTTCTGTAGCGTTTACATTGGGGTTTAGCGGTAGCAGCAGACGTGTAGCGCGTCATTGTTTGCAGTTTTATTCTGCCACGTCAGCAGTATTATTTGTTTTCTTTGCAAATTAAATATTAACATAAGATTTTTCAAAGTTTCCAACAAACACAAGATAGTTTTAGATGATAGAAAATCTTATTGAATAAACATCAAATGGTAATTTTATCTAAAATGATGTATATTGTATCAAGTATATGAAGAGAACAGTGATTGTAAGAATCTGTGGATTTGGATAAATATGTGTATTTGATGTGTTATCTAATATTGCGCTATTGATAGAGTGTGTTTGCGTGTAAGAGGGACTGACGACTACATTAAATTAACAGATAAGATTACTACATGTTTGATGATATCCAGTCCACGTTTCCATCAATGAAAGAGCGCGAGTATCGGTTTCCCGGAGTTGGGAGGGAGAAAATTGGATGGAAACCTTGGGTCTGCATTGTAACAAACGGACGACAGGTTTTTCTTTCTCCATTATTCCACGAAACAAGACGTTTGTCGAGGGGCGGGTTGTTCGTTGCGTTGTGTTTTTTTATTATATATAGATCGGAAACGGGAGAATTATGGATATTAAATTGGTAGAAGGTGTAATTTGCGGCGGAAGGGAACCGCATGGTCTCCATCCGAAAAGGGCCGACCCACCGCGATCGGTAATGAAAGGGAACCACCCTACTCCTGTTTTTATGTGTGTTTGTGTGTGCAGGGTATTAACGACAGTTGTCTAATGACTAAGGACAATTCCACCTGCGCAAGATAACAGTACAACATGAAAACGTGCCTCACTGTCTCGCTTTTTATTTTATTTTATTTTTCTTGTAGTCGACAAATTTTCTAATTCCTACGTTGAATTTTGTTGGTTTCGTGATTGGGGGAGGAAAGGCACGCTTGCAGCCATACTTGATGATGGTAAAATGTATGTGGTGGCGCGTGCAACGAGGAACGCATCGGTGGTTCCGAAGGACGGAAATGCGTTTTGGTGTATTATATACACTCGGTGCCAGCTGTTTTCGGTTTCACGACTCGGAACTTCCAAATACACAACCCCGACTTCTAAAAATACAAATATTGTGATAGTAGAATTTCCAATAACTGCATTGGATGGGATCTGTTGAGCAGCTTCATCCTTCTTCCATCAGGAGGAATATACTTGGATAGAGAGAGAGAGTAGTTCGGATTTGAAGTGAGCCTCTTTTGTTGTGAGGAGGTTTTTATCATTACCCTCCTCTCGCCCCCTCGAGTTTGTTCGTTCGCTCTTTGTCCTTGCCACGGTCGTCCTCGTTATCTCTCCGGGGAGATTCCTCGTTGGAATCCAGGGGGGCCTCCACTGTCTCTTCAACAACTGTTCCCATCTCGCTTCGACCCAATGCAATGTTCTTCGTTCCGTTCGTTCGTCCTCCTCCTCCACGTTGTTGCCGTCGCATTCAGACCTCGTCTGTGCGCGCGCTCTCACATCTCCTCTCGCTCTCGGAATTCCTGGGGCCGGGAGGGAAAAACGAAAAAGTAAAAATGGAAATGCACGAGAGAGAAAAAAATACACAAATAAACAGACGGGGGCTCCGCCGACAAAACAATGTTTAGTCTGGTTTTTCGAGGTATTAAGATCGAGTTTTCACCCATCTGATGAATCCTTTTTTTTTTGTTTCTGTTGCAGCGACGACTCAACGCCTGGCGCTATCCTTGTACCGGCGGACATCAGGATGACCGCCGAGGCGAAGAACAACCTCCAGAAGGAAGCGGAGTCACCGATGCGCCGCTTCCTCCAATGTCCCGGCATGTTCCGCGTGGATATCCTCAAGAAGTGGGTCCACAACAAGTACAATGTCGACACAAAAAAATTCCACGTAAGTATTCTTCCCACATTCGTGTTCAAAACAGGACCGAAAAAAAAATAGCCCCAAACGGAAACGTATATTGACGGATGCATCTCGTTACAGATTGATATCCTCTACAAAAGGGTCCCTCTACCTGATCACTACACCCTAATCGATATAGCCTACATCTATTCTTGGAAGAGGGTAAGTGCTTCGCACCGAACGAAATGGAGCGAATTAATTTTCTTAAATCCTTTTTCTTATGCGTTTTTTTCTTATTATCACGCACAGAATGAACCGATGAAATTCTTCTTCCGCATCACCGATATCAATCTGGCGAAGGACCGTTTCGATTATCTGGAACCGGCATCGGAGCGCCAACCGACTCCCACGCCGACGCCTCCACCGAAGGAGGAGATCAAACCTAGTCAAAAGCCTGAGTCAAAGAAGGAGTCTGATAAGATCGTCGTGGAAACGGAGAAGATCAAGGAACCTCTCAAAAACGGCAACAAGATCAAGACTCCGGTCTTCACGAACATCACGCTGAACCGATCAAACAACGTGGAGATCATCACTAAGATCCAGAAGGTGTCCAACAAGAACGGTCAACCGATCGGCCTGAACATCATCAAACAGACAGTGAAAAAACCCAAGGCCCCGTCCAGTGCGAAAAAGCAGAGCAAATGTGATAATAAAACCTCTAATAATAAAAAGCAGGAAGTGAAAAGTGAACCACCCAAAGTGACTGCAGTTGAACCTTCACCTCCAAAAACAACAACACCTCTTCCTCCATCGCCTACTCTTACTGCTGCAACCACCCCCAGTGAACCTCAGAAAGAACCAGTGAAAACCACGATGGAATTGGACGATGAGAAGGAGCGTTTCCTCAAATCGATCGAACTGACCTCGCGTAGTGTGCTCCAGACGATCGCGCAAACCCAGAAAAGTGAACCCGCCCCTCACCTCAAACGTAAACTATCCTCAAGTCCTCGCGGCGGTAGTGATAAACCCAAGAAACCGAAAGTCGAAAGGAAAACGCCGGCTAAGAAAACGAAAGCCGCTTCTTCGCCAAAATCGGAGAAGAAACCCGCGCAATCAACGACCGCCTCCGCGACGACAACAGCAACAGTTCCCTCGGAAAATTTGAAATCGCTCCTGAACACCTGCAAAATCCCATCGTCACTATCAATCACGTGCGTCAACGGTGATAAAGAGATGCAAGTGAAACCGAACGTGAACGTGGTGAATCACATCGAGATCCTCAAACTGCCCGATCCCAAGATGGAAATCGACGAGGATAAGCAGAAACTGGAATTGGAAAAGGTGGGAACGACGATGCAACCTGCCAAAATGGACGAAGTGAAGAAAGAACCGGACACGAAGAGCAGCGAATTATCCATAACAATCACAATAGAGAATCCCAATGATAAAGCCTTAGATTCGAAACCAATCGGAGTCCATCCGAATTTACCTATGATTCTACCTCCAACGGGAAGTAGTCACAGCACCACCCCACGTGGATTGCCCACTTTCCAGAAGATGTTTGAAGACACTATCAAGAAACCGGAGTTCGCGCAGAAAATACAAAAGTGTCCCAACAAAAATAAGAAGGGATCTCCGTCGGAGTCGACGAATACGAACAACAAGAGGAACATCTTGGAAATTGCTTCGAAGTTGATTAAGAAAACTAAATTGGAGCAGGAGCAGAAAGACGCGAACGCGAATGATAGCAGCAAAGCGATCATTCCAATTCTCAATACGCAGAAAACGCTGATGAAGCCGAAGAAGTCTCCGGAAGCGCCGAAGCATGAACCAGCTCACACTCTGAACAATCTCCACTCGACCAGTCTCGGATTAAACTATTCTATATCCGTGAGTCAGCTCTCCGACGACGTGAAAAAGTTGTCATCACCCACGAATGTACCTAAAGTTCCTTCACCCAGACCCGCCATCTCGCCGAATATCAAAGTGCCCTTAAGTATACAATCGCCGAAATATCCTTTACCTTACACGCCGCAACCTGCCCACAAATCCTCCTTCCCCACATCCTCATCATCGCCCGTATTACCAGGCGCCCTTCTAAAACCCACGATCACGACATCGCCTAAATCGCAACTGCCTTCCCCCAAACTGCCCCATCTTCCATCCCCCAAACTACCGTCGCCCCGCATCCCCTGCCCCAAAATCCATTCACCGCGTACCTCATCACCGAAACTCCACTCGCCAAGAACCTCCTCATCCTCCTCCTCGCCCCGATTACATTCACCCAAAGTGCACTCGCCCAAGCTGCATTCGTCCCCGAAAGTTTCCTCGCTTCGACCATCGACTGCGTCGCCAGACTCGAAGCTTCAATCGGAGAAGAAACCACCACCACCCGCATTGGACCCCAATCAGCTGCAAGAGAAATACAACCTCCAGAATCTGGCTCAACTCACAGCGAACCTTAATTTCAACATGGCTCACCAAAACAGCATGGCCTTTCAGCAGGCTATGATCCTGAATCAGCTGGAATTGCACAACAGGCAACAGATGCACAACAGGCATCAGAATCTGTTCAGCATGGGGCTGCAATACGAGAAATACTTGGCGAGTTTGAACGCCGCCAATGGACAGAACAAGCTGTTGAACAACATCAAGGAGAACTGACCCAAAGGGTCGGGTCTCATCCGTCGGACAACGCAGGGTTAAATTTGTGAAGCAATTACAATCACATAAATGTACGAATCTTCATTATTATTATTATTATTAGCCGATAAGGCTTTTAAGTCAATTTAAGTTTACGATCTTCTCGATCAGTTATTATTATTTTTTTTTTGGTCATATTTGTTAACTAAATGTTATTATTATTATTATCAATGATTTATTTTTCATTTAATTTATTGTTATCATTAAGTTATTCTTTCTTCCAGTGTTCTTTAATTTTATGTTTGTATACATACAAATTATTATTAATATTATTATTATTTCATCCGCGTGTACATAGAGAAAACAATTGAAGAAACTTTTGTAATTATATAAATATATTTAAAAAAAAAATATATAATTATATTATATTATATATATATATTGTAATATGTAAGATCATAGATATTGTAAATATTTTTCCCAGAAATTGCTAAAAAGTGGTAATACAAAAATAAAATACAACAAACATTATTTATATACAGAAAAGTCGTTGCAGTTTTATTTGCTCGTTTTTGGGTCTCTTCTCTTTTCCGCTCCTCTTCCCGTTTGCATGCACGTACGTACGTATATGTACGGTCTCTCTTACGCTTTTAATTGGATGGATGTGTGGTAGTGAGACTTTCTAAGGCGAGGTGAAAGCATGCTCTCCGCACCGTCGGGTTTTTGTTGCCGTGTGAGTGCAGCTTTCGGTTATTCGTAATATAGAAAACGGCGCAGGCTATGTAAGTATATGTATGTATGTATGTGAATGCGAAGCGAAACAAAATACGTCTCTCTGGTTTGGCGAGTGCTGCTGCTATATGGGCGAGAGAGAGAGAGACGATGAGAGAAAGGTGCTCGTCCTGATCCTTGCGGCTAGACAAGGACGGGGAGTAAAACCCACACTTTCGCCGCCGATATGCGGGGGTACGTGAGGTCGGCGTGAGATGGGGCGCGCAGGTTATGCAACGTTGCCGCCGCCTCTGGGAACGGTCTGGACGGAAGAGCTCCCGGCCTCGGCAACAACGCCGCATGGTCATTATCCCTCAGAAGTGTTCGTGACAGATCGTTTCTGTCCGTAAATTTTATATAATTGCAAGTGATTCATACTCAACCATCCGAATACATACATACATACACTACACACATTATATATCACCTTATATACAATCAGCAATACATAAGCACTTACATAAACATGAACGCACGCTCCGCACATGAACCTCTCTTATATATTTCAAAATTTGTTTGCTTTTTGATACGTGGCAATAGTGGTGATCATCCTTACTTTCTACATGCACTCAACAAAACGCTTTCCCGATTTATTGATTCCACTTCTTCTTTTTTTCTTTCTCTCTCTTCACGAACCGACGATGACTGGCAATTCCTCTTTGTTCAGATAAGAACCAAAATGTTGCGATCCACCCCCTGTTTTATCATGTAGTTTTTTTTAAAACTACCCGTGTCCTCAGTTTCCAAAACATTAATCACAATTTTCTGATAAAAAAAATCAATAAAAATACAATACAAGTATCTAATTATATTTAGTTCACGCACATACACTAGATGGCGTCTCAAAAAATTAGTCATTTGACAGTTTGCAAATGGCGCTGACAATCAATATAGGTTATGTACATAACCAAACTTCATGAAATTAAGCACAATTTTTTTTAATAGAATTTTTCATTTCATTTATTTGACAATAAACAAAGGTTTATTTTACTTTTATAATCTTAAATGCACAATTTTAAGTTTATGCGAATGAGCGGAAATTACGTAAATCATGAAATTATGCACCATTATGAGCATTATATTCAATGTTATTTTTGTTTTGTATAGAAGTGTGCGAAATAAAAGGAGAACGTAACAATCCTCATTTGAATATAAACTTTATTGTTGAGTAAATTACGAATTTCGTATAGCCTTTTGCAGATAACATCTGAGGATTACTAATAGTAAAAAAAATAGAAACGAAATACACTAAAATGAATGATTATATAATGCGATGATGATGGATGGAGATTTTGTGCACGGTTGGAGATGGTAATAGGAACGATCTACTAATTAAGTAAAAGCAGTTCCAGCATCAGCCGTTAATTAATAAATTACTGTTGTTTCCTACGCGGCGCTCGGTTTCCCAGGAAAACTGCTATTAGCATAAAACGTTCGGAGACGCACAATGGACGCGTTTAATTGGTACAGTTTCATTTATTTATTTGAATATCATTGGTGGCCAGAGAGAAATAAAAGAGTAACGAATAAAGAATGATGATCATGATGATACGGGTTCGGGGTTTACACGAAATGCGGGTCAATGCTTCATCTTCATGATTCAGTTAAAGATTTTCATTTAGACTTTAAATTCAGAGGATGCAATTAAATTGAATTGAAAGATATTATTACCAAATGTTGTACAATTTCATTCAAGAGATTCGAACAGAATCGTATCTTTGACATTTTTGACAAGTGACAGGTTTAGCAAATGTCATGATGTAAACATTGTAGATGATTGTTCGGATTTAAGGTTAAAGTAAAAAATAAAGGAAGTTGTAGATGATTTGGTGAAAACAAGGGAATAGTTCAGCTTTAGATTGGATTTTGGAGGATTTGGCTGAAGTGGTTTTTTGGTATCGGCTGGAAAAGGTATCGCAATATGTTTCTGCGGTCGGACGACGGGTGAAATATTTGGTCCGATAGTTCGGTTACCGAAGGGACAATCGCGCGCTCGCCGTCCCCAAGGGGCATCGAAAGGGTTGCGATTTATGGAACGAGGGTGGCCAACAACAAGACATTAATCTCATCGGATTTCCTAATGGAACTCTCGCAAAAGCCAATAGCAATCTGCTTATCAGGAAGCCACCGCTTGACACCTGTCACAAATGAACAAGAAACGACTACAATATTAAAAAAAAGGATGTGTCAATTAATGCATTAAATGTAATTGGTCCATTGGGAAGAGTATTATGTCATATGTTTGACATGTTAAGTGACAGCTAATTTTGACATTTGTTACTACTACTGGTGATCATGGAGTTCGATGACATTGACAACCATAGAAGTTTTTATGTCATATGTCACGTATAGTGCGGATGCAGCTTAAACCATTAGGAATAATGAAGAAAAATAAATGCAGATACTATAAAATGTTTGGTGATGCAATTGTGAGGCGATTGCAGCCCTTAGCGTATCATTTACGTGGTGGTTCCGCCGCGAAGATCTGAAGTTGCGCAACTCACTTACGGATTAAAGGTGGAAATCGTGCAGGAATTTATGACCCGACATTAGTCAGTCGCAGTTGCGGCCTGGCGCAGGATTAGGACTTCGAGGAAGAGAAGAAGCGAGCAGCGAGATTCGAGATCGGGGATGAATGTGGACGATGCAGCGCTGAAAAATTTGCACGTTTCGAATCATTTCGTTCTTGTGATGATGATGATGATGATGATGATGGTTGTGATGATCTTGCCGTGCGTTTCCTTTTGATAAGACCGTCAACAAAAACAACCTTCGGTTGGGATTAAAATAGCGGCCGCGTGATGATGTTACATCGTCTGCCAACCGGAGAGACTATATGCATGTTTGTGCATGTATATACATATGGATGGATGAATGTGTACGTGCCGCGTTCGTTGCGGCGTTTATGCTTGTAGCAGAGGCGAGAGCATCCTGGCCTGGCCTAGAACCGAAGCTATAACATTTCATTTAAAAAATCCCAACTCAAATAAACAGATAAAAAGGCCCGGGATTACACAAATAGCAACGAAAACGCGCGAAGATTCCTTCATATCCGTAGCAGAATCGAGGAGTCATCAAATGATGATATCATCATCATTTAACATCACAAGTTTTCAGCAAAATTAGTTAACTAAATTCAACAAACAAAATTCTTCATTTCACTCACAATCATGATCATTTTATCGTCCTTACAGGAAATGTTACAGGAAAATTTGAAACTTACTTCATTACAATTTATGATTTATATAAAGAAAAATATAAGTTTTACGTAATTCTGAATGAATATGTTCGTGTACAAGCTTTTTCATATATTAATTTCCATATAAATCATATGAGCATTAGTAAATAAGATTCAAGAAGTTTTGCATGAAAAACTTTCAAATTACTTTACTTATTTACAAATATTTTATGAAAATATACTGAAAATTATTTATATATTAAATTGAAAAAATTAATATTTTGTTACTTGACATTATTTTGTAAACATCAATTTGTAAAGTATTCTCAAAGATCATTAAAATCCTTGTACATATTTAATGTCCCAATTAAAACTGAGACTAAAGCTAATTAAATGGGTTTACGTTTACTACAGAAGCTGTTAGATTACATGTAATTTATAAATGTTTTAATTGAAACATAATTAAAATTTGAGTTTACGTTGATTTTATATAACTTTTAAGCATATTTACTACTTCGTTTAACGTCTATAATCGTATCTTAAACGTCACTAAACGAAGTCTTACTGTATATGGAAAGATGTAATAGAAATCTGCATGATTTCTCAATTTATGAATGAATAATAATTAAGAAATCATTCAAATTTTTGCTGCTGCAGCGTTGTTGTCCTCCCTACATCCTATAAATTTTCAACTGGACGACCTATGACCCGAAGAACCCTACCAGCCAAGCAGTCTAATGCGTCTTCTGTAGATGCGAGATGATAACCCGATGGAACTGCTTTTGAACCTGTGAGAGAAGCTGCGGCCTTTTCGTTTTCCTTCGAATAATCCTCTCTCTTTAATAATAATAATACCATTATAACCGTTTAAACCCCAGCAACTAGCAAACGTTTCGCACAATATTCAATTTAACATATTGAAATCATATAATTATTTTTCAATTTTAACAAAACTTAATATTTCTTCTGTATGGAAAAGACAATTTTAACTTGGATTAACTCAAATCAAGTTTGACTTAGAAGTTAATTCGTTAATTGAAAAGTAAAACTAAAGTTTGCAAACAAAAAAGAAATGTTTGTTAAGATAATTTTTGGATTGTGTAATTTTAATTAAGTAAAAAGCCGCCTGCTAATTACTGATTACTAACAGACATAACCTCGTGGACAAACAAACAAAAAAAAGACTGCAATGACATTGACAGTCAATTAACAAACGAAACAGGCGAATCAAGCA